TCCGAGTTGTTCTAGAGCAAGAAGAAATGCGAGATGCAGCTTTTTTTTCTTTCTTTCTTACATAATAATATTTCTTAAACGAGGTAAGAGAGAGAGGAGATCAAGACTAAGCTGCCACTACCACTGTATGAAAAACACCGTGTTTGCGACTGCCAACAAGAGGTGGCGCATTTTTGGACCACAATTCAGGTTACCCGTTCCTGTGAGAAGGGATGCAAAGTACCAACAACCTGGTAACAGCAACTTTCTGGTGCCATCTAGTACATCCTTCGCTCACAAACAGAAAGATGAGGAAAGAGAGTTGTTAGACCTAATCTCAGGCCTTATCAGCTTTGCAGCATTCTGCTTAAGTAGCAAAGTCAAGAATTCAACTTTGAACCAGGCAAGATAATATGAAAACCCCAAGCATCTTGGCTAGATCAGCTTTGGAAAGGAGATTACAGTTTCAAGTCCTTCAACAGGTTATGGTAACAAATCAAGCACGTTGCAAATGTAAGGGGCACTTGTCACTGAAAATTACCAAACAAAGATGGGAGAGTCTTTTTTATTTATTTTTTTTAAATTTTTTTTACAAGTGAGCCGCTGCTAGTTTTTACTGACAACATTTCTGGCGATTCCTCTGCCCAGCACTACTGAACGCTGCACACACACAACCGGCTGGAGCGGCAGCCTGAAGCACAAATCCATCATAAAAAAGACGCACTTGATCTTCTTACGTGCAGAAGCCCATATGCAAGCCACAGAGGCTAGATGTGCGGGGCTCCTGCATCTTTGCACAATACAGGAGAGAGACGTGCGTTTTACTGACAGAGGCACTCGGCAGCATTTTCCCCTTCTGTTAAGCGACCTTTTTGTTACATTTGTTATTGCAAACAGATCCAAGCAGAATTAATAACAACATTATTTTTTTCTGCTAATTGGAGGATTTCTAACAATTTCTTGTGAAGCAGTAGATAGAAATATTCCTGGATCCCGACTGCATTCCTTCATTCTCTACATCCCTTAAATGTTGTCAATAAAAACACTAACCTTTCTAGGTAGCATGGTGAGAAGACATTATGTGATGAATATTAAAAATAAATGCATGAGGTAAACCTGCTGTTATTTCTGATTGTTATATGAAGCATGAATAACACTAATTTAAATGTTGGCAACCAAAAAAGTGCAAAGGAATAAGATAACGGTGTTCACTTCTGGTTAAATGAAAGACGAGAAGTTGTTTCTGTGTTTTCTTCTTAACCACGACGTTTTTTTCTTTATCGTCATTTCCCATAGCTAATATGAATTTGGAGCTGGTGAAATATACATCTCTGCTGTATGTGTCTGTCACCAGATCAAGAGGAAAATACAAACTTTTTATAATTTTGTACCTGTAGCAAACGTTTGTATTTTTTGAATTGGAAACAAACTGCTTTTTGTCTTTTGGTCCGACTAAAACTTTGTGTATTATTATTACCCTTTTGGAAAACCTGACATATGAGTTTATGCTGTTTTACAGTTTCTAAATAAATTCTTAAAACATTGCCAACAAATTCAGCATCAGTACGCTCTTTATTATTACAAATTATCATAAAAAGTATTATGTCATAATGTAGATGAGGCGCTCGCACAGGACGCACGCTTAACCCTAACTGTTGATACCTTCTTTGTTACCACAGTCAAGAATAAGCCGGTGGCTGGAGAAAGCCAAGAGTCCTCCCTCAGCAACCATCTGTGCCTCAACGTCAGGCATACCCTGGATTCAGTGGCACGAAACACCTCTCTCTCTCAGCACGACTCCGTTAGCTCTGGCTCACGTTGGTTATAGAGTAATTGGGGATGTGTTATTTAGCTCCAACCCATCTTAGACACTTTGGGTCATTTCCCAGTCTCCAGAAATTTCTGACACTGGAGTAAGCAGAGCCTGGAAATAACTGTGACACCAGTAGGATCTGATTGGAAAGGCCTTTGGGTAAGTGTAAAAGTCAGACTGGGCAGAAAGCTTGTCAGGGCAGGAAAGACAAAACTTTTGGGAGATGGTTTAAAACAACATATCGTCTTGGAGCTGCACTCCTCTATCAAGCCAGAGTTGTGTGCAGAGTTGTGTGCAGACAGAGTGCAAGTCCCTACCTCGTGAGGGACTGAGCAATGCTGTAGAGGCAGCACACTCAGCCCCTGCAAAAAGGCACTCATTGAAGCTATGCGACCTTCATAAGTGTCTGTTAATAAAGCAGAATAAAGCGGGCCAACGCACTAACAGCAGCGCCAGGGTAAGAAACAGAAACACGGCCAAAACAATCAGGAGTAAGTACAGACAAGGCTGTGGAGACACCATCCATCATGGCCGCGTTTTTTTTTTTTTCCTGCAAGAGACAACAACTTGGCATCAACTCCTTCATGGCAAAGGGTTTGACTGGGAGGAAGGATAATCACAATGGTTTTAGCATATGCGGAAACGGGAATAAAGTTAACTGTCACAGGAAAAGGCATGCGAAAGAGAGTAGATAAGGAGAAATCCTTGCATTCTTCCTTTATCCCTCATTCCTCTATTTGACTGCAGGTAGAGGGCAAAATAAGATGGTCCCTGCTCTTCCTTGCCCATAATCAATCAGTTATTCAGTCAGCACTGGCTTTCGTGTATCAGTACGTGCTGCAAAAGCAACACAGCTTGCTGCCTGAACACACACTTACATACTCTGTTAATTACTAACACACGCCCATCCAGAGAAACACTAGGTGCGTAACAGGTTCTCAACAGTTTTGTTTGCCGAATGTCGGTTGTTATCATTTTTGTTAATGCATTTAGTAACAAAATAGGACTGAAGGTACCGTGTTTACCCGAGAACAGCATCCTACAAGGATGTAGCATGGCCAGCTCAAATCCCCTTGGGGATTTGATACAAAAAAGCAACATATCACCATATAATAGAAACCTTTCATAATGCATACACACCAATGTTGAACGAGTGAGAAAAATGCAAAATTTTTAATAAGCTTTTATTTTTGTTTATTTTTTCCCCAAGCTTTCATGTTCTACTGTCAGCTTGGCATTTCAGTTTTCAACTTCTTATTTTAAGAACTGAATTTTTTTCAACTCTTCTTTAACAGAGCTCACAAGCTTGAGACCAGGGCTGCAAAAATTAGACACTCCATTCTGACCAAGTTTCACTCCTAAACAGCTTTTGGGAGCTGTGGAGGTGGAAAGTGAACCCTTTAAATTACCAGAGCTGACTGAGGACATAAACTTCCACAACACATAAAACCCAAAGCCAGCTGAACAAAACTTTAGAAGTGAGTTTATGCCGCTTTAATCCTCAACAGAGCTCAAGGATTAACCAGGAATTAAAAAATACAGGTTATCCCGCAACATCCAAAGCCCATCTGTTGCCTCAACAAGTCTTGATGCTCTGTACTCAATTCTGCTTAGTGATTACACCTTCACACGCAATCGTGATTTGACATTTCTCTAAGTCTGTAACCAGATAGGATTGTTAATTCTGGTTTGAATCTGCAACCGATACTGAATAAGAAGAAATCGAATGATGCAATTATGAAATGTGATAACAGTATTTAGCAACCCAACTCTGCACACCCCTCCTCTTCCCACATGGCTCCAGAAACACTCCCTTCTGCTTTTTACCTGGCTCTCATTCCCTCTGGGGCCTCTCCCTCCTCTTAGACCTCTCTGAGCTGGCAGGGCACTTCCCCCATACCTTCCACCTTACTTTCAGGTGCTGGAGAAGGAGTGTGTGAGAAAGCATCCCTTTCTGTGGTGTGGCTATCCCTACCCCAGCACACTTTCTTATCCTGAGAAGGGGGCAGCCTCCCATGCTTGCTGTTTGGGGAGAGGATTATGCTGCTGTTCTTGTGCTACCTGCAAGCTGACTCGGACCTCACTGCTTGCTCAGGGTTAGAGATCACCTTGTTCAGGCTCCCAGGTGGCAGCTAGGAAGCGGGCTTCCCCAGCCCACAGGGGTACGCTGAATTTCACCAATACACCTAGAAGTTCCTCCAGTAAGGGCTGTTTCCCTTCTCATATATACCTGCTTCACTGCCAGAGCTATTCAAACAAGCTCCAGATAACCTTACATAGAAACAACACAGTGTGTACTTTTTCCTCTGTCGTTTAACAGTTAACCTTATTTCTGCCTTCCCCTAAAACATTCAAGTTTCTTTAGCTTGAGGTAGAACGGAGAGGACATTTTGGAAGGTTACTAACTGTTGCTGTTTCTAATGGAAACACAACCTCAAAAACAAAAAAATATTTCGCTACAGAGGACAAAACTGTTCTTTCAGAAACACCAAATTGCTGAAATCCAAATAGCACTACAACTTTGGTTTTGACAGAGATTTCATTTTCATTTTCCCTTTGACAAAGGGAAAATCCTTATGAGGCAAGGGAACACTGATCAAAACAAACATGAGTTAACGATGAACAACCAGTAGCTAGTGAGTGTCTACGCCTCATTTGGCTTAGTCTTACATGTTCTTGTTTTTAAAAACGAACCGACCAAGTCACCAAACCACCATTTGAAACAGTACTTAAATAAGCACTCTTACAGGTGTAATAAGATCTCTGCAGAGATATAGAAGTTGAGTCTGTAACTCTTACCTGGGACAAAATTTCAGAAAATCTCATTTTCATTCCAAAGCAGATAATTTTGAAACCTTAAGAGGTTTTGCTGGACAGGAAAACTGTTTGTTGTGCAGTTCCACTATCAACTAACAATTCCTGTAGATACAGAAACAGATGTATGCCTGATAAGTGTTTCAGAACACCTACTTCAGGTTCAGAGCAAATAAGGTGTTGCTTTTTCTATATTCCTTCCAGATGAAAGCAGAGCGCTATATATTTTAATCCATCAATGGATCAAATGAATATTTTACTTATAGCCAATAAGTTAATTCTAGAAAGTGAAATGCTTTCCTTAGCACATATTGACTAATAAAAATAGCCCGTGTAACCTTCTTAATAAAAAGTCTTATTTTTATTTATAAAATGGTAAATTCTCATATTCTCCCCAAGGCAGAAGAGAAGATAGGAAATCCTGCAACAAAAAATAAGGTAAAAGAATTAGGACATGGTGGGACAGCGAGAGGCTCTGTAAGCCCATGTTGGTGGCAACGTGAATTCTATCTTATGCATATTGTCCATTTCACTCTGTATCATAAGTTCATTTGATAACTTTAGATGATTTAATTTTCTTTATGTCATTGCTTTGCAGAATCAAGGTCCCATCTCTGAATTTTCCAACTTGTCCTGCAGGCCAAATGCTAGGCACCGATTTCTTCCTTTTGGCCTTCCTGAAATAGGAAGGGGGAAAAAATGAATTAAGAAAAACACCAGAAACTCATGAAAATGCTCAATATGGTGAAAAAGTCACCTATTTATGCAATCAGTCTTTGGTATTATAGAATATCAAATCATAGCAGGTAATGACTCCAGAACATTTATTACCTGCATAGCCATTCAAAATTTGCAGCACACTACAGATTTAATTACGTTTTAAAAGAAGTTTAAAAACTAAGACTTTCAGAGAGAGAAAGAAGATAAAGAGCACATTTCAGTGAACCTGCTACACTATAAGCCTCTGGATACTGTAGCTTGTGTTTTGCAAAAATTATTTCTCAGGGCTCTGAGTGAGTGGCATAACCCGAGTCCGCACACAGGGATTTCCATCCATCTCAGTTCCAGCTGCAGCCTTAGACATGCCGGGGCAGAACTGACACATTTGCAGTTAAGCTGCCTAACTAAGGCCTTTGAAACTGCTAGACACAGAGCAAGGTCACCGTTTTGTGACTAACAGTTCTTCTGCAGTTGGAGAAGTTCCTTCCACTGTGATTTGCATGACTTCTGGTATAAGATTGTGCATAGTTATGTAGGGGCGATACACTGGGGAGGCTACGTAAAAGCAAGTTAATTTTAATCATGTTAAAAACAGCTCACCTCTCCTTCTGTTCTTTCTTCTTCTTCTTAAGAGAATCACCTTTATGTTCCTGTTTTTAAAGATACATATTTTAATGTAAAAGGAACAGAGCATCTTGGCTAAACAACCATCTGCACACAAAACACACGGCAGCCTTTGCTTCACGGAGCAGCAGGCATTTAAAGCAGGGTGGGAGACCTTCAAACAGGCCAAGTGATGCCATGCGTTATGGGGGCACTGCTAGGAGCGCCCAGAGCCCTTCCTGTCACCTTATGGAAAGCACAGCCCTCTCATGACCAACACGCTGCCCCGGCCGCGTGAGGAGGCACAAATCCAGCAACACAAGGGGAGAGAGGCTTTCTTCTCGGGCATGTGACAGATCCTTGGGTCAAAAGATGGACTTGCTCCCAGGCAGCTGTGCCTAGTCGCCTGACTGAGCGTACCTGTCAAATGACAGGGTTTGCCCGTGTCTGGTCATGCACTGGATGCACTCTGAGCCACGTGACAGAGGAGGAAAAGTAGGTCCCCTGGGAAAGAGGGTGGCAGGAACCAGGCTGATAGAGCAACCACCCGCCCCGCAGCCTGCTTCCACCTACATGAGAAGACTCCATGGGGAGGGCAGGGAGTAGGCTTGGAGCCAGATGAGCCATGCTAGAGGATGGATGCAACAGAAACCTCACCCTTGCTTTAAATAATGAGCAAGATCCTAGATGGAATTGTGCTGATATAAAACCAGCTGAAGATCCGGCTCTCCGTGGTTAGACAACATGCAACAAACTTTAATTGAACGCCATTTTTTTCCCTTAAGAGGCAAGGAAAAAAACTCCAAACCTGCTGATTTTGTGTCATCAGTTTATCAGCCTCAAAGGATGAGGCAGTGAAACCCACCACAACACAAGCCTAACTCTGTGCCCTTCATACTGCACACAACCAGCTTTTACTGATCAAGTTAGTCCTGCTGGAGCCAGGAACCTAATCCATGGGCAGCAGCGGGTGTCAAGATCAGGCACTCCTCCTGCACCTGAGGCATTATCTGTCAGGCTTTTGGGCTAGCTCTCACATGCTGCCTTTTTATACAGAAAATTTCACACAAACCTTTCCCTTGTCATCATCATCCTTCGCTGCTTTTTTCTCTTTCATTTTCTCTTGGTAAGTCTTGTAGTTCACGTGTTCCTTTTTGGGGGGCTGCAATAAAAATTGGGAGGGATATCACTGAAGAAATTTTCAAATAGGTTCAAAAAATATTCACACACTTGCATGGAAAATATTTTTCAGGTGGTGGTGGTGAAACATTAGAAATGGTCTATTTCCTTTTGGGTGAGAGGAAGGGACTTAAGGGATGCAAGGTAGACACAGAGAAACCATATCTTTCTTGGTGGAGACAGTAGGGAGGGATGTTTATGCTCTATATCAGTCCTACAAGGTTTCCACATACACACTGAGCTAGAACCCCACCCCCCAAAAAAGACCTAGAAATTTTTTTTTTCTTTTACACTACTGATGATAAATAAACCTGAAAATTTTCCTCCATCTTTAACTCACTGGGAGAGTGAAGCTTTAAAAAGCAAGCCCCTCCCTCCAACAATTTAGTTTTGAATGGCCTGATTAAAAATTAGTAGATGTTGTTTTCTACCTCAATCAGTCATATTTCATCTAAACAACATCTCTGATAACACAACCACATTAATTTTCCAAATGTCTACAGAAAATAGACAAGGCAGAATAGAAAATGTAAAAGTAAGGATGAAGTGGGAGAACGATCAAGGCAGGGGATCTTGTGTTTTAAAGAAGTAGTGCCAACCCCCCCCAGTGTTTTTTACCACTTTCCTGCACTGTAACAGCTGGGTGACAGCCCAGTACAAACCAAGTGACAATTACCTTGGCTCCCAGCATGATAGCACGCTCCTGTTCCCATACGCGTTGTTCCTGCTTCTTGTAGCCAGTGATTCCAAACTTGTGCACTTCCAAACGAGCCTAAAACATTACAGAAAATTGCAAGCATTTCATAATTTGTCCAACCTGTTGTAAAATAACGCTTGACAGACCACAACAAAGTCATACTCCCAAAGAAACCCTGGCTAATATCTGAAATCAGCATGCTATAAAATAAAAGTAACTGAGTTTGGAGCTATACTGCAGAACAGTTAACCACTGTCCATCTAATCTCTGGACGGCGAGGACTGTCATGGGGACAATTTTCGATTCTACTCATTTCACATAAAACAACACATGGAATGGATCTCCTCTACATAAAAATGAATCATGTTGTGCTGCACAGAGAAGAACAACGAAATATGCCACCCACAGCGCCCAACATTTACAGAGCATCCTCGTTCCTTGGCTGCAGAGCACTTAACCAGTGAGAAACACGGATGGGCAGATGGTAAAGTGGTTTGACTACCTACATATGTATAGTTGACACTGTACAAGAATACCCTGGCAAAACCAGTGGTGTATTTATAATCTTTTTAAAGGCAGTGGTTAAATCCTCACTGTTGTCAGCATTACAGAGCTCCACGCAGCATCTCCAGTGAGAGATTTCACTGGATCACAGCACGTCTCTGAGCAGAGATCAGGCATATAAAACTTGCACAGATCTGTAAACAAATCAGTATCTGAGAAGGCCAATGCTACTTAAGCTCATGTAAGAACAGATGAGAACAAAAAGACAAATGGAAAAAAGTCATCTGCTTTTTTTCCCCTCCTACATGACATCAGAAATCCAAGATTAACACCATGGGCCTGAAAGAGCTATGCTATACATTACAGGAACTCACATCGCTTTACATAGCTAACATGCAGTGATCCTCCCCAAATTCTCATTGCAAGAGCAGAAAGAAAGGCCACTGAGTTGTAACATGCCTCTCTTCATACAGAGCAGTTGACAACAGCCAGCACGCTCCTCCTCTGGCACGGCACACAGCCAAAATTACCTATTAGGAAATCCTCAGCTACAACTGACAACCTTTTCTAGAGGCGTTTCTCATCGCTGCCACCGTAGCTTTCCCAAGCATATAAATACACACACCTGCACACTAAAATACTGAGATTCGATAGGTCCCGCTGACTTACTTTTTCGAAGTTAAATTCTTGTTCATTCTCATTTTTCTCTTCGTCCACTATTTTGGTCTATAAACAGAATAAAACATTTTGAATTAATATAACAAGTAACACCAGTTTAAATGCTGATTGTGATAGTTTTTTGGAAAGCAACAAAATGTAAAATGGGTGGTAGGGAAGAGTATACAGCTTTCCAGCAGTATCTTTTCTAGCTTTATTACCTGGATTCATTAAAAGAGACGGTCTCAATAGCATTTTTAATATGTAGATATTATAGGGACTTACTGGAACAACCTTGCACAATTTATAGGGTACCCTTGTAGCACAGAGCATATAGCTTTGTCTGGCATTTTTTTTTTGCCTGGATCATCTGCTACATATTACAAAAAGTTTCATAATTCAGAAAGATATTAATAGCTGCAATTAATTTTTATACCTTCAAGTACAAATTACATTTTATAAGAGAAAAACTGCCACATGCGAGCTATGCATCATGCGTATTTCCATTTCCAAATCAGTACCAGACTGCTAATGGAGGATAGGACATGAACTTTACGTCATTTTGTTTGAGACAGAGAGCCCAGTGGTAACAGTGCATGTACCGATAGCTGGTGGCAACACGCAGAACAAGCTTAATTCGCAACTTCATAGACAGATATTAGTGCGCATGCCCAGCTTAATGCAAGAGAAACAGCTCCAAAGGAAGCACTGTCAGCAAACAGCAGACCCCACTTAAACGATCTTAATGCTGTTTACAGAAACTATGTGCTCAAAATGAGATGAGCGAAAACTACATCTTTACTCTGCGATTTTACATGGAGACCTTCCATCAGCAGTTCTGTTTGGAGGGGAACTCTGCAGGGGGGACAGCTCGTATCCTAGGAAGAAAAAGAAGCACAAAATCCCCAGGGAGAGCTCCACGCCTGCTCACTACTGGAGTGTCCCATATGGGACACTTCAGAGCAGTAACAAATCTCCCAGGGTTACTTTAGTTTGTGTCTCACCCCTGATTTCGGGGAGGACGTGCTGAACCACCCCTCTGAGCGGATGCTCTGCCCGCTCCCAAGCGTGCTGATGCAGGCAGGCGGCACTGGCAGGGAAACTGCGGTCTGTTCAAGAGTAGCATCCCCTTATCTTTCCCTGTTTACTCTAAAGGGCACTCTATCTCCTCTGAGGAAGCAGGAGCAATACATATGTATTTAAACTGAACCTAAATGCTTTTAACGCATTTCTTTTTCACATCTCCAGGATGTTAAGTCACGTTGAGTCACAGGTTCAGGTCCCAGGGTTCCATCAGGGCATCCACCAGAGCCAAACCCAAACTTCTCTCAACTCTGCGAGAGCTTCTGTATAAAAATTGCCCATTTCAACGAGAAAAAAACCCTGGTTGTTTTCAGAGAATTTTACTAACAAGCCTAACACCAGTCTTTTTGGGCAGAAAAACTTAAGTTGTAAAAAGCGTGAGAAAATAAAAATCTACAGCCATTTTTAGAGTAAAACATGCCGGGAAAAGCACAAACGTTTATGGATTCAACCAATTGCTTGGTCAGTTTCTTGAACTTCCCAATTCCAAGCGCTCAAACCCCAGATACCAGTAAGTCGCCCTGAATTCAAGACAGCCATGTGTTGGCCCATCGGAGCTTATTTTAGAATTGGGCTTCTGGTGTTATGGCCATAAACACGACTCAAAGAAAACAACCAGAGAACCTATAAGATCTGGAGACCAACCAGTGAGCAAGGGACCCTCTGCTCGGGCGTGGAAGGCAGCTCTGCTTCCAGCCAAGCCTAATCCGGGCCTCTGTTGAAGCAACTCAGCTACAGTTTTTGGTAGCACAAGGGAATTTAGCACCCACAAACCAAACCAGGGGACTGAGATCTAATGCTGTCACGCCTTCCCCCATGGACCACCCAACACCGGTCCTCCAAGACGCACCTTGCTTGTGAACAGCCAAATGCTGCTGTGATGCCAGAGAAGAGAAGGAAGCTTTGGCACCTCACATGCACACCTACTCACAAGAATAGAGCAGCACACAAAATGCTCAGGCAGAGGAGCAGCCAAGAGGCTTTGCTTTCCGTTTCATTCACTTCTTGCCGTATCGGCAGTCCTATCTGCAGATCAGCTTATTTTGTTGGGATACACCTATTTCAAATACAGGATATTTATCCAGAGATCTGAAACTGGAAGAAAAGAATCTTCGGGTCCTGCCCCCACCCCTGCTTCTGCCTGCCCCTGCCAGCAGCCCTGTCGGGAATCAGCAGGACTGGATGTCATGTTGAGCATACAGATTGCTGAAGGATCCTGCATTTACAGGCAAGAGGGAAGAAACTGGGCACAGGAGGGGGGGAATTACAGAAGGTATCTCACAATTTATGGTGGCAGACTGTGGAGATAGCAAAAAAAACCCCAAATATGCAGAGGGTTTTGGTTGGTTTTAACTGTCACCAGAAAGGGGCATCCCAGTCCAGCATCTGCTCAGTGTACAGTCGCTGGAATGGCTTTAAAATAAATACCTGTGCTTTGAAGAACTGAGCTATGTTCACCGGTATGGGTGCCGCGCCCAGGGAGCGCGCCCCGTTACAAGAAGGCCCCTGCTAGCGGCCAGCAGCCCCCACGCTTGCAGGAGAGGACGGGTCTGGGGCAGAGGAGACCACCCGGCAGCCCACCCATCCGCCCACCGCCCGGCCCGGCCCTACCTGAGCACCGCCGGTGGGT